CCCCGGACACCATTGACGCACCCCGTCAGCATCATCCTTGATTTTGCCGAGGAGAGGGGCCTCGTTGAGTGCGATTCTCGCGCACCCCCGGAGGTACATGCTATCAACCCTCAATTCCCCTACTGTCGTTTCCATCGGCACCAGGGGCACAGAACCGATGACTGCCATCAGCTAAAGACAGCCATCGAGAGATTGATACAAGGGGGCCATCTGTCCCAATTTATCCAGAACCCTCGGCAGGAGGGACCTTCTCATCAGGGACCTCCCTGAGGGCACCACACGAAGGTGAACGCTTGGGTGAACCCGAACACCATCCCCCTCGGCAAGAAGAGGGAGATCGGAAACTTGGAGGAGGAAGAGGAGGAGTACCCCCACTACCAGGAGAAAAAACGCCACATCCTCATGATCACCGGTGGCAATACAGGGGGCGATTCCACCAGCCAGCGGAAAAAGTGGGCTCAATCGCTTTACGTGGGGGAAGTCACTCATATGCCCCCGGTAAAGCAGCTGAGGGAGGAACCCATCACCTTCACAACCGCAGATCTCCCTCCTACTTCTTCTCCTCACAGGGATGCCTTGGTGATTCGGACTGAAATAAACAACACCATCATTCACCGAACTTACATTGACACGGGCAGCTCCGTCAATGTGATGTACCTCAGCACCTTTAGAGAGCTGCATCTGGAGAGGGGGTCCCTTCGGCCCATTAAGAACCCTCTTGCCGGCTTCACCGACGATACTATTGATTCCGAGGGGGTAATAACCCTCCCGGTAATCTTCGGCGACGGGCTCCATAGAGCCCAGCTCGAAGTGGAGTTCGTCGTCGTCAACATCGACTACGCCCACAACATCATCCTCGGCCGGCCAGCCCTCGAGGACCTCGAGGCCGTCATCTCCATGAGGCACCTCTGCCTCAAGTTCCCCGCCGAGGGGAGCATTGGCTACTCCCGGGGGAATCAGAAAATTGCCCGTGCTTGCTATCTTTAAGTCACGAAGAAAGTAAGTAAGACGGAATTCCGAGGAGTATGAGGCCAAGGAGGGAAGAATGAAACAGTACAAGGAGGCGGCCAAGGAGTTGCTTAAGGTATTTGAGGCACACTCTCTCACTCAAATACTGAGGGCTCAGAACTCCGAGGTCGACATACTATCTAAGCTCTCGGCCGAATCCCCCGAGCACATCTCTAAGATTGCCAAAATTGAGGAACTCAGTCTCTCGAGTATCCATGCGAGCCCCGTCATGAACATACAACAACGCCAAGAGGACTGGATCTCAGATATCATCACCTTCATCTCTACAGGGCAGCTACCCGAAAATGAGACTCACGCTAAACTAGCAAAGCTGAGGGCCCCTAGCTACACCATCGAAGACGGAAGGCTCTACAAATGGTCTTACAACGGCACGCTACTTCGGTGCCTTCATCAAGATGAAGCCGAGGTCGCAATGGAAGAAGTGCACAGTGGCACTTGCTCAGCTCACCAGGGACCCTTCTCCATGTCCCGAAGGCTCATTTTCAAGGGCTACTTCTGGCCAACCATGGCCAGGGATTGTGCTGACCTTGCCCGAAGGTGCACCGCATGCCAACATTTCCAGAAAGCCCCTGGCAGGCTAGCGGTCAACTATGCCCCCATCAGCACATCCGTCCCTTTTTCTCGATGGGGGATAGACCTTGTGGGTCCTCTGCCGAGGGGTACCTCCAACAACAGGTACATCATTGTGGCCATCGACTACTTTACCAAGTGGGTGGAGGCTAAACCCCTCGCCAGCATCACAGAGGCGAAGTGCCGTCACTTCGTCCTCAAGAACATCCTCACAAGGTTTGGCGTCCCCCAGCAGATCATCTCCGACAACGGAACAAAATTTGAAGCAGCCCCCTTTTGTGCCCTTCTGGAGGCATGGGGCATCAAACACACCTTCTCCTCTGTTGCCTACCCTCAAGGCAACGGGCAAGTAGAGAACGCCAACCGGACCTTGCTCGAGGGCCTCAAAAAGAAGCTGGAGGCCGAGGGAGGTGGCTGGGTAGAAGAACTCCACAACATCCTTTGGGCCTACCGCACCACCCCTCGGCGAGCAACAGGTGAAACACCCTTCTCCCTCTGCTACGGGTTTGAAGCCAAAGCTCCTACGGAAGTCACCCTTCCCACCCGGGAGGGTGATCCAATATGACCCGAGGTCAACGACAACAACATGGCCCTCGACCTCCACCTCCTTTCAGAACGCCGGGAGCAAGCCTTCATCCGGGCAGAAAATTACCGAAGGCAAGTCAAGGGCTACATCGACGCCAAGGTTCGCACCCGAGAATTCCAAGTGGGGGACTACGTCCTCCGGAGGAGGGAAGCCAGCCAACCAACCGAGGGAGGCAAAATGGCACCAAAGTTCGAAGGTCCCTACATCATAGAAACCATCATCAAACCTGGGACTTACAAACTCAAACGCCCCAACGGGAAAGAGGTCCCTAGGCACTGGAATGTACACCACTTAGTTAAATTTTATCAATGATGTAAGAGCGGACAAGCCCTCATAACTAGTGAATGTACTATCCTATGGCCCAAGGCCTCCAATTTTGAAGAATGAAGACACATTCAAGGCACCAAGAACAACCACAAAACACTTATGAGCGGCCAAGCCCTCATACCAACTACAGGCCCCAGGCCTCACCACGAGAAGGACCCCCTCCGACACCAAGTGCCGAGGGCGGACACCACCAACACCTCCAACAACGGTGAAAACACCAAGTGTTCCTACAGAAGACCCCTCGGTACCAAGTACCGGGGGTACACATCTCCACCAACATCAAAAAGAAGAACACCAAGTGTTCCTACAGAAGACCCCTCGGTACCAAGTACCGGGGGTACACATCTCCGCAATCAACATCAAAAAGAAGAACACCAAGTGTTCCTACAGAAGACCCCTCGGTACCAAGTACCGGGGGTACACATCTCCACCATCAACATAAAAAAGAAGAACACCAAGTGTTCCTACAGAAGACCCCTCGGTACCAAGTACCGGGGGTACACATCTCCACCATCAACATAAAAAAGAAGAACACCAAGTGTTCCTACAGAAGACCCCTCGGTACCAAGTACCGGGGGTACACATCTCCACCATCAACATCAAATAGAAGAAGAACACTAAGTGTTCCTACAGAAGACCCCTCGGTACCAAGTACCGGGGGACTACATATCGAAACTAACACCAAGTGTTGTTTCTAAAGCCGTACCCCACGAGGACGCATATACCGAAGGCGCCACCATCGGTGCCGGCGGCACGTAGTGCCCCCGGCCATTTGCAGCTAGTGTGCAAATGAAAACCCTTCCTTGAAACGCTTTCCGCGTCACTACCCCCAGGGTATGACAGGCATGAGAAATGCCCAGGATTCGACTTTCAAAAACGGAACGCTTTCCGCGTCATCACCCCAAGGGTATGACAGGCACGAGAAATGCCCATGATTCGACTTCCAAACCGAAACGCTCCCCACGCCACCACCCCAAGGGTGTGGCAGGCCACGGACTATGTCTAGCGCCGAGGGAACGACTTTCAAAACTGAGGCGCTTTCCGCGCCATCCCCCAAGGGGAGGCAGGTTACAGACCACCATATCTTGTGCCCAGGAAACGACCCTCGATCCCCTCGGAACTCGGAAGGTTAACCCGAGGGAGGAGAGCCATTGGTGTATTCTGATGGTCTCCCGATAGGCCCAGCCTTACCAAGAAACCAAGTTTCTTGAAGCCTTCCCTTCACCACCAACCGAAAAAAAAGAGAGGGGGTGAAAGGGAGTAGACTCATCGAGAAATCAGTGAGTACAACACTCCAACAAATCACAACATACCGAGGGCTCCCTACGGGAACACCTCCGGTAACTGAAGGCTCCTATTTCCCGAAGGTTACTACTCAACAATACAAAGGGATTGGACTGTCTCAAGTACACTAAACGGCTAAGTTCACTTCAAATAAGTGCCGAGGGCACCTACCATCGGTCATCCACTGCTACCGAGGGGTCCTATCCTGTAAAAGGGGATGCAACTGACTAAGGCAGCTCAACGACCCTTCAAGTGAATGTCGAGGGCACCTATATCCCACCAGCATTCACTACAACATCAATGTCCTACAAATTTTCCTAAGTCCACACTTTTGAAAAAATGACAACAGCCGGAGGCTCACATATCACCCAACAACCGAAGGCATCTATTACAAACCATCAAAGGCCAACCAAGGGGGAAAACACTGCTAACCGAAGGCTACACTGGGAAGCAACACTTAGAAAATTTTCTAAGTCCTGAAGATTGAACCCCCGGCATGATCAATATTTCAACTGAGGGACCATGATAGCCGAAGGCTACGTGATGCAACAACACTTAGAAGATTTTCTAAGTCCTACATATTTTTCCCTCGGTCAACAACTACTTATACATTAAGGAGAAGGATATCACCCCAGAGGCTTCCGATGGGAAACCACGCTTAGGAATTTTTCTAAGTCCCAAAGATTGGATCCTCAACCTGATCATCAGATAACTAAGGACATGCGGTGGCCGAGGGCTACTTGACCCCATGCATTTGGAAGTAAGGCTAAGTCCTAAGTATTTGGCCCTCGGCCAAATATCCACGCAACAGGAAGGTTCACCCAATGATTCGAGGGCTCCTATCAGGACCACTCGGGGGCTCAACATCTGAGATCCACTTAGAAAATTTTCTAAGTCCTAAATATTTGCCCCTCGGACAGACTCCTCACTGACCGAAGGTTCAACATCTACAACACACTTAGAAAATTTTCTAAGTCCTACATATTGGACCCTCGGTCCAATATTCACACATCAGGAAGGAGGCTACCAGCCGAGGGCTTCCAATGGGAAACTACACTTAGAAATTTTTCTAAGTCCTAAGGATTGGGTTCTCAACCTAATCATCTCACAGCAATTGAACTACAGACACCCGAAGGCCCTATGGTGGGCTACACTTAGAAAAATTTTCTAAGTCCTAAACATACATTCAAAGGAGGGCGAAGGCATACATTCAAGAAGAAATGAATTAAAGAAAACAAGCCATATATACAAAGCCCGAAGGCAATCATTCATTCATCAAAAAGAAGGGATTCCAATGTATATGTTACAATGTATGGCCGAAGGCCGAGGGCATTCAAACATTCATTACAGAGGGATTGTTCAAAACGTGTTAAATTAAGAAATTACAGATTAACATTCATGGGGGCCATCCCCTCCGCAGGCTTCGAAGTGACCTCTGTGTCGTCCTCAGGTTCGTCACCTTCGGCTTCCTTCATGAGCTCTGTATCCTCTAGGTCTGGCCTCTCGACATCGGAGGAGGGAGGAACGCGGACGTCTGGCTGCAGGGGGGATGCCCGTATGCCGCCGGGTCGAAGTCCTTTGGCTCAATCTTCAAGTGGCGAGCCATCCTCCGGTACATGAGGGCTTGGGTGAAAAACTCGCCCCCATCATAATATTGTTTACCCTTTCGGGAAACCCACTCCACACCGGGCCCATCGCACCACTCGTCGACCGAGGACTCGTCGACCGAGGACAGCCATTGCTTGTGCTCCTCAGACCGCCACCCCCCCTGCCAGGAACCCCGAGATGGCATCCCCTCGGGCTCTCTCGACTGCCTCCACCTTCGCGGTCTCGGCCTCCATCTTGGCGGCCTCGGCCTCCCTGGCAGCTCTCTCCAGGGCCTCAGCTGCGGACCTCTCAGCCTCCGCCCTGCCCCGATTTGCGGCCTCCGCCCGCAGGGTCATCTACCGAAGGCTCTCCTCCAGCATAGCCATGTGCCGGACGGCATCGTAATTCTGGTGGACGAGCTCCCGCATCTTGGCGTCTTGCTCGGCCTTGCGAAGGCGCCACTTTTCTAGCCGCCGGGCCTGCTCTCCGAGGGCAATGCAGGTCTACAAAAATAAAGGGGTTAGGAAGGCCGTACATTATTTCCTGACTCAAACAAAAAACGGTAAACTGTCAGAAGAAACTTACCGTGAGGGAAGACCGGAGGATCCTGTCCTCGAGGGCTTGGTCATCATCAGCCCCGAAGGCTGCCCTGTCAATATCGAGGGTTATACCTCTCAGAAGCGCCCTCGGGTCAGCTGTGCCATTCATCACGGCCGTACCAGCCGGGAGGGAGACCGTAAGGACCTCGGAAGATGGCTCCCGGACACCCCCCGACACTTTCGCCACCGGCATCTCCTCGTGCACCCCGGAGGCGGGGCAATCATCAACAATGACCACCGGGGGGACTTTCTTCCCGGCATCCCCGGTCTTGGGCTTCTTGCCCTCGGGAGCTTTGCCCGTGCCTTTCCTCTTGGCGGCGGCAGCCGCATCAGCACTTGGGGCCGCCGATGGCCCCTCCGGCTTCTTGAAGAAGTCACCGGCGGGTTTTGGGACACCAGCGTCCGTCCCCCTCGGGGCCTTGGAGGGTTTTTTCTTCTTCAGATCAGCAAGCCCCTTGACGTTCATCATATTCACTGGGATACCTGCAAAAACAATGTGGGGTTAAAATCGAGGGGTCACTAACAGATGGCATAAAGAGTAAACAAAAAAGCAAATGAACTATGTGCTAAGATATGAAAGTGAGAGTGCCCTCAGCCACTACCTCTGGAGGCTCCCTCAAACACCGGGAACTTCTCATCTGTTTCCCCCAGGAAGCGATACCGCCGGAACCCGAGGGTGTAGAGATCTTCCTCTTTGGTGCACTCCTTAATGGTAATATTTTTGTCCCGGCCCTCCGGGATCATGGCCAGAATCCTGCCGTCTTTCTCGAGGGCGGTGCTCCTCCTCTTCTCGTGCCTCCTGAAACGGTCACGCAACTCCCTCGGGAAGGGGCTCTCGGTCAGCTTCACGTAGCACCACCGGTCCTTCCACCCTTTGTTCGAGGAGGGCGCCTCAGTGAAGAGCTTGAACATTGCCACCTGCTGCAAGTTTGCGAAGCCCTCAGCATTCGCATGCCCCCCCCCCCCCCCCCCCCCCCCCGCACAGATTGAAGCTCTGGAAGAAGAGGTCCAGGCTAGGTGTCACCCCCCGGGACTTGCAGAGCTGGAGGAAGCCAGTAATGTAGGAATGGCTGTTCGGGGTCAGCTGGCAGGGGACCAGACCCACGAACCGGAGGTACTCCCGGAGGAAAGGGTGCAGGGGGAAGCGGAGCCCCATGGACACCGAGAGAACGTGCACCGCAATACAGCCCTCGGGAGCCCGGGAGAGGACGTCATCTGGACCCGGTGTCACCACGATGGCCGAGGGGCCCACGTGAAGCTGAGTGACGTAGATGTCCGCCGCATCAACCTTCGACCTTATTTCCAAGGCGGCGGTGTTCAGGTAGGAGTACCCCTCGGGCATATCGAGGGGCTTCCCTTGATCTGCAACGCTGCCCTTCTTCTTGGGAGCAGCTACCTTGGCCTTCTTCTTTCCGGGGGCCACCCGGATGGGAACCGCGTTCAGCGGCCGAGAGGTGCTGGCCTCACCGGCACCCCGAGGGGGGAGCACAGCAACGGTGACCCTCGCGCTTTCTCTTTTCGCCTCTTCTTCAGCTGCTTGCCAGGCTAGGGCCAGCTCTTCATCCTCACATTCTTGCTCGAAGCCCTCGGCTTCCGCCTCAGCAACGAGGGCTTTCTGCAGCTCCAGGGCGACGGCGGCATCCTGTCCCACCGAAGACTGTGCACTTGAGGACTCCGCGTTCGAAAAAACTTCATCCCCCATCGAGGGCGCCACCGAGATGTCCTGGGAATCACTCTGGGACGACATTTTGGCTCTGGCTCGATGGCTCGTAGACACTAGTGTTTTCTAAAAATCCTATCTCCTAGCCTAAGGGCACAAGACAGCTAACTAAAGAGGTGAAGTGCGAGTGGAGAACTGACCTGGGAATAAGAATTGGATCGAGGGCTGTTGTTTCTCTCTCTAGAAAATTTGGCAGAGCTTCGCTATAAGGATTTCGCACAAGGAGGAGTGTCCGGCCTTGGGGTATTTATAGGCGCTAGAATCCGGGCTTGGGCCTGGAAACCGTGCCTCCGGTTGGACTGCCATCATTACAGACCGCGGTATCTCCCAATCGGTGACGCCCGCCCACGGGCGGCCAACGATCACGCACCACGTGGCAAACCCCCCCAACGGCTATATCCTGACGTTACATATTCCAACGGCTATATTTTGGGAGCCCCGGGTTTCTTACTTCACTCCGCTTCATCGGGGAAAGCCTCCGGGTACACTTACCCAGAGACGCCCCCGGGTTGTGCCCCACATAATACATAACAGATGCCTTCGGGATCACTCCTTCAGAAGCCCAAGGCTTTATATCAGGCCACCCCTCGGGGATTCCCCCTCAACACTGTAAGGGCCGGGTAGCCCCCGGGGAGTATGCCTCATTGACGGATAGCCTACGGCACACAGGTAATGGGAGCCCTCGGATATCCTCATCACCAACTAATCAACAAACAGGGGACACCCCGGTAACAATTCAACTACTGCCCTCGTCCATCACGCCCTCGATCCCCAGATTGAGGGGCTCCCCTTCGGCACCTCCCAGGACATCAACAACAAGCCTTCGGCTAATCAACGCATGAGCCCTCGGAACAAGGAGAGCCTTCGGCGTTACCATCATTCTCCATTTTGAACCAAGGTTTCACATTTTCGATTCATCGTTGGGGGAATTCGGTGCACTCTTTTTCCCTCATTATAGGATTTTTTCCCACAGGGTTTTTCCTAATGAGATTTTTAACGAGGCATCCCCCCAAAATGAAACGAAAAGCATCACCCTTCGGCCCACAACAGCAACGCAACTACTTTACTCCTTTTAACCACTTTGCAAGTGCCTCAAGGAGTGGGGGACTGGAGGAACCTATCGGGAAAATCATTAAATTACAAAATGGCGAAAAATTCCAACAAACGGCAAAGCAATCCCTCAAGTCCCGACATGTGGGTAACTGAGGGACTGCCTTCGGCAGGAACATGCAAGCAACAACTCCTCACCAACTTCAGAGATTACAACGGGACAACATCAAAGGGCAAGCACAAATTATTCCTTTTCCCTCAAGTACCTTTCGGCAAAAGGAGTGAGGGACTCCTGATGGAGTATATGGCCCGGGAACCCCCAGCCCACAGACTCCTACTACACCAATAAAGGCCCAACCGGCCCAGGAAGCACAGCAGGCCCCAAATCACGACGCCCAGAGTACCAAGCAGCCCACAATGCGCACCAGGGGTGCCTTCGCCCCCCTGGCTGAAGGCTCTAACTCTCACAGGAGGGTCAGGACAGCAAAACGAAGTTACTGGGAAAAACGGCAAAAATCAGTAGCCCTCGGCACCTAGAGCCCTCGGCACCAAGGGGGTCCCTTGTACTCGGAGCCCTCGGCTAGTCCTCTACAGCCGAGGGCACCTTCCCCGACATGATATCTGCGCCACATGCGTACTGATCACCGTACCCTGTACAACGTCCCATCCAACAGCCGCATTAAATGCGGCCACATGCGTTTGCCAGCGCCAACCGGTTGAGGTGATCTCTCGGCCAATGGACGCTTGACACGTGTCCCTGTCCGGCATTTATTGCTACTATAAATAGCACCCTTTTTCCCCATTTATAACCAAGTCATAAACGCTGCATACTTTCTGAATACACTTTCTCTCTCTATACTTACTTGCTCTGACTTCTCTCTTGTTATTCCCCGCAATAACCCTCGGATAAGCTACCCCCCGGGTACACTATCCATCAACAAGCATTATGAACATCTAACTCAAACCAACATCAATCTCAACCAGGGCTTACAACAGCTATCAGAAAAGCTTGACTCTCTGACAGATTCCCTGCACGCATTCATGAACTCATCCAATAACAAGATTGATGCAGTCTCCAAGGAAGTAGATGGAATCAACTATGTCCTCTACTTTCACTCCCAATCTCTAAATAATCAGAACGAGACACTGAAGGAGATAACTGAAGCCTTAGACATTCTACAATGGAATGTTGATCAGGCCTCAGAGCGCTTTATGGAGATAGGAACTCTTTGTACAGAACACAAAGCGCAAGCCTCAGATCTTCTTCAAAAGGACAAGGAGCGTTACCAGAAGTTGGTACTCCTTGAAGCCAGTACTCAGAGCATCCAATCAACCATGGAGAGACAATATAGCCTGATTGAAGGACTGGCCTTTGTTACCCAAACTCTGCCAGAAGCTCTAGATGAGATCAGAGATGCTCAGGCTTCAGAGTTCTCTAAGATTGAGCTCCTCCTTGGCGATCTTGTTGATGCCAAAAAGGGGGAAGAAACCAGAGAAGAGGAAGGTCCAAGCTCCAGAGCCCTATCTATCAGAGGACCCTCATCTACTGTTGATCCTGCTCCTTACTTCGAAGCTGCAAAGAAGAAAAAGCTAGCTAGTGCAGGCACCAGACCTCCCCCTCCACCTCCCAGAAGCTCAAAGAAGAAGTCCTCAAACTTTACATTTAATGAGTGGATGAAGAGTGGGATGTCTAGGCCTGACAGAGCTCAATTTACTCAGATGAAGAAGCTTATGACTCCACTACAACAAGAAAATTTGTTTATGGACAGTGATGGACTTGTCCAGATCAATCATGGTGGATCAATATAAGAAGCTGAAATTTGGTGGCATATGAGAGTCCTAACTGGCAAAAACATATCAGAAGCAATCCGGAACTACTTGGATTGTAAGCTTGCACCTCACTGGGCAGACTATCAGAATCCAAGGGACTTAGCCTCAATCCGAGCTAAGGTCAATGCAGAACTTGAGAGGATTGACAAAGCAGGACCCCAGGTAGATGAAGAAGAAACTTAATCTTCCATCTCTGTTTCTGTATTTAACTCTCTGATAATAAGATAACATCTCTGCCTCTAATTTGCATGGCATCTTAAATTATCTGTTCTTCTTTACTTTCTGTGATTTCCTATCGTTTGCTCTGATACCTTAATTCCTATTGTTGCTATTTGATTGTACTGTACTCTTACTATTTTCCTATGCCAAGTTGCCCACCATGATTTTAATGAAAGTTTTTAACTTTATTCTTTTATGATGAAAGGCACTTCTCTGGAAATAGTTAAAGGGTTTTTGGCATCATCAAAAAGGGGGAAATTGTAAGGAATAAATGTAATTAGATTTTGATGATGCTAGATTTATTAAAATTCGAAAGTACCCCTATAGAATTTTTGTATTAGAAAAATTTCTTTGTAAGTATTAGCATAATCGACATGCCAGAAACCCTCTTGGTCTTCTTGATCAGAATATCTACCAGAGTTGCTCCCAGAGTTGCTCTCCAGAGAAGCTACCAGAGTTGGGTACCAGAGTTGGCATCAGAGACAGTCATCAGAGTTCGGATCAGAAAGCCTCATCAGACTTGCTCTTACTTAGCAGAACTCGAAGGCACTTACCAACGGCCATGAAACTAACGGAAAATCCTCTAACGGCTAGGAGCCATTCGATGGGAACATGGTACTGTACACGCATTAAATGCTCAATTAATGTTGTACGTACGAAGATATATTTAA